GGCAGCTTGTGCCACGCCTCTTTTTTGGTGGCTGTTTTGGAAAGCCTGACCGCAACCTAGGGGCATGTGGACGGTTGCAGCCAGAACGCTATGGTTTTGCATGCGCACCCATCTTCGCTCACGTCGGACCATCATCACCACGATAATTAGTCTAGATCGGGATATGGACCGAAGCCATTATTATTCGTATGATACCCGTATAGACTAATGATAAACGCCGCACCATAAGGTTAAAACTAAATTCTAGCAGTCAGCGTTAGATAAGTGATCGCAACGATGACAGTAGCTATCGATAGCAATACCTGACCCTGCAACAGCTTACCAGTGCGAGTCGGAGGCCTTACAGAGATCTTAGTATAGAACCTCGTAGCAACCCATACAGAGCCGTTCTAGAACCCGGAGAGCCGCACGTCCCACCCCTGGTCTCGTGGATGCACAACCTCTCCTGTCAAAATGAGAGTTTAGATGAGTTTAGGGTTTAGGGTCTGGGTTGATTCGGTTCGAGGAGGAGGCCTCAAATAGTCTCCTGCTCGTGAAAGCTAGGCGGTGCCTGGGCTCTCAGCACCGAGGGTGTTGAGATATCCTGCTGAAAGCCCCTGGATACCCTGGGATTCATCTTGATACTCCAACATTGCTCGTCCAGGCGAAGAGAAAAGTGAAGGGAGGAAAAAAAGGTGCGGGCAACATGGCCGCGAAGCAGAAGGCTTTGCAGGCCGGCGGTGTCGCGCGTCAAGAAAAGCTCTACACCCAACCCCCGAGCCCTAGGCGTGGTTGAGTTTCGCGTTGACCGTCGAGATTCCCCCAACCCACAGGCATCTCACGATCTAGGCCCTAGGCTTTGTGGGCTTCAGGGTTTATGCAAGGTTCGGGGCCTGCGGTTACTGGTTTAGCAAATGCCCGGGGCTCTAGCAGCCTTCATCCTCGAGCTGGAAGCTTTCCGGCCCTCATTCGCCTTGCTTGGGTGTCGGCAGGGCTCAGGGGGTAAACTCTCAACCATCGTAGATCTTGAGGCTTCAAGTCCAAATACCCCGCAGCAGACAGGCTTCAAAGCCCTGACCTAGAAGACTTGAAGCACAAGGAACCTTGAATACTTTCAAAGCTCACCCTAACCCTCCAGGCACCTAGTTTATAGGGCCCTAGAGGCTCTAGTACCCTATATAGTAGGTAACTGGGGGGTTAGGGTCAAGAAAGCACCAAGAACCTGAAGCCGGCTGGATAACATCCTGTGGGGGACTTAAACCGGACCTTAGAGGAGTTTCGTGGGTTTCCTAAGGTCTAGCAAGTTAACTTTTACGACATGCTTCTCTAAGTGCACCCCAAACATTCCCACACCTTTACCCGCAACCCCTCAACCCGTAAACCCCTAAACCCCCGAAACCCCTAAACCTCTCAACCCTAAACACTCAACCTTTCGATTTCTCGTTGAAGTTGAAGCTCTCAGCTCTCGGAGCCCAACGATCGCCTCCAAACCATCCCAAGCCTTCACCCGAGATCCTGTAAGCCATGCCCTTCCCCCCCAGGTACCTACGATATTAGGGTACTATGGGCCCTCTATGCTAGACACCTTGAGGGTTAGGGATGAGCTCTGAAACACCAAAGCCACAAGAACCACAAGAGTGCCACTTGACGTAGTAGGTCGGTTTCTATGGAGGTCTGAAAGTTTAGTAGTATTATCCCCTTACGGCCGATCTACGACACTACCATACTGGGCCCAAGCCCTATAATTCGGACTACAGAGGTCCCATCTTTGCTGCTTACTCGCTAAGCCCGCCAAAAAGGGGAAAAACAGCCAATTCCAGGCTTCTCCATGCCCACAGTTCCCAACGTCCATGAACCGTACTAGCCCAGCAGCCCCTAAGCACCCAAGGCCTGGAACCCTCGGCCCTGAACCACTAAATCACTGACGCTAAACCCTAAACCCTAAAGAAATCCGTAAACCCAAACAGCCCTAATAACCCCTGTAGCGGTAACCCTCAAAGCAAGGAACCACCACTTGCAGGCGCTCCAAAGCCTTGAGTTGGCCCAGAAAAAGGAGGAAGACGAGGCAGCTGCCAAGAAGGCCCGATCCTTTGGGGCCCAGAGTAGTGTGGTAGGGGGTGTTGGGCTCGGGGATTTCGGAGTTGGGGGGTTTTAGGGGCTTTGGGGTGTTGTGCGGGCTTGAGCATGTTCGTGGGCTTTGTTGATTCAGGCCTAGTTTTGGCTGACATCTAAGTTTCGAGGGTTTCCGGGTTGGGGGCACTTCTGGGCTGGTTTTCGGGCTTCTTTTAGGCTCCACGGCATGAAGCTAAGGCTTGGTGTGTAGGATTGGGATTTGGTGTACCAGGTTTTGCAAAGCCTGTGTCGCTAACCCCAAATCCCTGTGGGAGGCATCATCATAGACCCTGAGTTATCTCCGAACAGCCAATAGCCTTAAGCCACCGACCCCAGACGTCAACACAACGAAAGAAAGGAGTTTCGGTACCGATGAAAGATCCCCCTATCAGCAGCGCCCCTAAAAAAGGGCAGCCGTCGGAATAGCCCTGCACTAGTATCCCCTCACAGTTCCTACATAAGATCTACAACACCCGCGATCCCCTGTTTTCCGTAGTCGGACCCCCAAGGAAGCTGCAAGAGCCTATAAACCCATCCCTCCTTCGTCTGAAACCCATCCACGGGCCAGGCGGCCCGTCAAAAGAAGAACGGGGGCGAAGTGGCTCCGGCGGCTTTGCACTATGGTTTACGGCTTTCGGGGGTCCAGGAGTCCAGGGGTCGAGAGGTCCAGGAGTCCAGGGGTCGAGTGGTCTGAGGGCAAGAAGGCCTGGGACGATCACTTGGAACGTGGAGGATCCAGACAAACACTCCCAAACAACTCCTTGAGCTCCTAAATAATTTGTTCAACCTTCAACCCTCCTTCAACTCTACATCCAAAACCCTGCCAGGCCCTGCCAAAATTCTAACCCTTAGCCGGCTTCAACGGCACTAAAACCCAAAGACCAAACTTGAAGTTGACCGGGCTTTGACTGTCAAGCCTGCCCAGCGGCGGACTTCGGAGCCCTAATCCCCAGCCCGAAGCTCAAAATCCCTAAACCCTAAGCCCCAAATAAAGCCAAGACATGTGTATGCCCCCTTAATCTTTTTGTGGGAGACGGTTCACATTTTCGAGGGTGGTGGAGATGGCTTCTGGTCAGCGAAGTAGCCTTAACCAGGCTTAAACCCGACCAGAATGGCATAGATCTCTCCTAGACTGCAAGCCCTAAAGCCCAAGCCTAAGCCACAGCAGTCCTCGGAACATTTTGCTGCCTGAATCTTGGGACCGGAGAGGCTTGACCATGACGTGATCCCGCAAGAAGCTAAAGAAGGAGGCAACAGTTTATGATACGAGGCATCACGATGTCCCTACACAGCTTTTTCGATTCCCGAGATCCTATGTTCCAGAAGCCCCCAGAGACAAGGTTGCTGCAGCTGTCAGCAATGGAAAGAATGGCAAGACTGAGGTGTGCTGGTCGGTTCGGTCTATGCGCTTTAGGGTTTAAATGTTACTTTCTTCAATATACAGGTGCCTGAATACTTAGAATTGAACAGGCGTTTGGAGTGTATATTCTATGGTATACTTGTATTCAGGCCCAAAGAAAAACCATACGGAATAGCATGTATGAGCAATCATTCGGGGCCTTAGGATTCTGTAGCGTTGGGGTTTGGGCTCAGGATTGAAAGCATACATCATAGGGACTCTTACAGGGGGGGGTAGGGGGGGGGAGGGGTAGGGCACTATACTTCCTCAGATCGGCCTTATTCGGTCCCTTTTTACTGGTACTAAGGTCCCGTACCCCCTAAACCCCCTAAGGGTCCCTCTGAAAACAGGGCTTCATGTAGGTCACAGGTGCTTACGCAGTGATGCAGGGCGCGTAACGTGGTTTCTGTATTCAAGGCATGTGCCCCTGCTGAGCTGCGCTTACTTCAAGTTGGAGTTTCGGGGTAAGTGAAACATACCTACAAGGTCATACCCTACCCCTGTGTTAGGGTACCCGGTTTTGTGGTTAGGCCCTTTGGATCTGTTCTATAGTAAAGTAGACAAGTATGCACCCTAAGAAGGGGTAGGGTATGACCCTACAGGTACTATGCAAGGGGCCAGCCCGAAATCCTCTAAACCCTGAGCGACCCGACTCCCGCAAGGAGGATCCCGAGCCCGAAACCCCAAAAATCGGGAGCTCCAGACCGGTACGGACCCCAAGACAGCACCCCGGCAGTCGGACCTTAATTATTCGAGGAAATCGCTTTCGGTATTTTTCCCTTACAGCTTGTCGAGAGGCGAAGAGCGAAGTACGAACCTGCCCCAATTTCCAAGGTGTTAGGGTTTCGGGTTTAGGGACCGAGGCAGCAAACGCGTCCCTTCTACGTGGGTTTAGGGCTCGGGTGTTCACCGAGGGAACTGCCCTCCGCTTGTTAGGCTTATCATATGAAAGCTGCTGCAGTTCAGGGCCCAGAGTTTAGGTTTAAAGCATTTCAGGCTTGGGGCTCAGGGGGTGTTGCGCACATGTTTCGCGGATAATTCTTGGGAGTTTGCGCCTTCCGCTGGTGTTAGGGTTTTGCTCATAGGCTCCATTGTAGTTCCTTTTCAAAATTTGTGGGTTTATATCTAGATAGAATCCTTTGAGGTACTCCAAAACAGGAACTGCAATGGAGCCTATGGGTACAGAGGGCTTGCGGGTTTTCGGGTGTGGGGCTAGTCTGCTTGCACTTGGCCGGTGCTTTGGTGAGTCACATATTGCATCAGTCTGACTCCGCGAGACCCAAAACCCTTTAGCCCGTAAAGCCCTTAAATTTAAACCTCAACTATCCTAAACCGCTAAGCCCCTAAACTTCCCCTAAACCTTATAAACCGCTAAACCCCTACAAAAGCCCAAGCTCTGTCATCATAAGGTTTGAGAGCTCAGGGTTTGGGGCTTTGGTTTTCCATGGGCCCACGAGGTCTTGTCCCCGAAGCATTTTGGTTCAAGCCTTGACACTCGTTCGACGACGGCATGGGTAACGTTTGCTGCACTGTGAATGCTTCCTTGCGATCTGATGCCCGGGGCCGTCGCCTGGGGAACAAGAGGGTGCATACCGATGGCAAGACCTATGCTCCCTTTGGTATGGTACCTCTGCTGCTCAAAGGGGTTCGGGTGTTAGGCCCCGAACCCTAAATCCGATACTCTCAAAACCCTGAATTCACACAATCAGGAAGTGCTGAGCATTAAGCCTTGAACCCTGTGAATACTACCATACCACAGAAACAGAAGCCGGATTTTGTAAATTTGCCGTCTGATTCGATAAGGTTCTAAGGACTCCAGTATCAAGACTTTTGGGCTAAAGCGCCGTAGTCACTACAGAAGCTCTTTGGGTTTCTTTGGGCCCTTTGGGTCCTGAAATCCTTTACCCCTAAACTCCGAAACCACAAACTGCAGCACCCCAAACCCTACACTCTCCTCAACCCTAAACCTAGATCATAGACCCACCCAAACCCCAACGCCCTGTGGCAAACCGGATGCCAGCTCCTGGGAAGACCTGCAGGTGTCACAGCCAGCCGACCCGCTCAAGGTGCCGGAATATTGCCCGCGTCTCGCGAACTTCTTCGCAAACCCTAAACCCTAAACCCCTAAGCCTTGTTTGCCGTAGCCCTGAGCGGAACCTTAAAAGGAACCCTCGATAAGGAGCTCTCCACCTTCTAGATCCTGTAATTGATGGGTAAGCATCAAGGAAAGCAGCCCTTGTAGGAACCTCATGGAGCCCTTAGCCCAAACCCTAAACCCTAAACCCTAAACCCAACCCTGAAGGTGTCGGAATACACACCCAGCCGGAGCGGCCTCAAAGAGAAGGTGGATCTCCGCGAGTTCATGACGACGGCGGGGAGGGGGGGATTTGAATGCAGCCTCTGCCGGGGGAATTTGAGAGTTCTGGGTGTGGGTCTATGGTAAAGGCTGGCTTAGGCCCGAACCCGACTCCTTAAGCCCCCAGGCCCTATAAGCCCGAAGCCCTCCTGGCTTCCTTTTGTTTTCTGTGGTGGGGTTCGAGCTGCGGAGGTGGAAGACCAGTCGCAAAGCAACAGCTGCTGTGCAAATGCCGTGGCAGGGGCGTACGAGTACATCAACAAGCGTGGCTTGGCGATGTGCGGATTCAAACGTCTTCTTAGCTTCAAGGGTTCCTGTAACCGGATCTGCAAGGGCAACAAGTGTAACTTCGGAGTCGTAGCTTAGGGATTTTAGGGCTTAGGGTTTTATGTCTTAAAGGCTTATAGGGCTTTAGGGTCTTCCGGCTTTTAAGATCTAAGGCTTTACGGGAAGACTTTAGATTTCTCTTGCAGCTTCTTGGCCCAGAAGAATCCCTGAACTTCTGAGTTCCCTAAAGAGCCGCGAAGACCGAAACCTTAGTCCCCAAACCCTAAACCCAGGGTTTAAGGTTGAGGGTTTAGGATTTTAGGGTTTCGGGTTTAGGGTTTAGGGTTCAGGGGAAGCTCTGAAACGTGACGACTCCATCGACGACATCTCGCGGCTGTTTATTTACTACGTTGGCCGCAAGCGGGATCAGCAGTACTTTGGCGAGGAGCCGACCCCCCCCTCCTCGTAAAGGCAAAACATGGTTTAGTGCTCTAGGGCCTAGGGTCTAGGTTGCGAGGTCTTAGGGCATATAGATTTAGGTCAGCGGTTAAAGCAGGGTTCAAGGGCTTCAGGACGTCTAAGGATTAGGGCAAAGGCCCAAGCTCTAACGCCTATGTACTTTGGCCGAGGCAAAGAGTTTTTGAGAGAGTTCCTTGGAAGGCTTCGATGATAAGGGTTCTATATATGGGGGGGGGGGGGAGGCCTTAGTAACCTTGGTACGGCCTTAGCAATTCGAACAGGATTTCGGGGAGTTGCATTTTTTTCTCGCATAGTGGTATAAGGGCTATAAGAGGGATCTTGTCAAGCGTGCAGGCCCATATGTTTGTCCAAGCCCCGAACTCTTGTCAGGACCGTTTGATCGTCTGCCGGCTTCAGACCAAGTCAAGACTTAGCGTGTCAAGCCCCATGCACACCCCACAGAACACGAAAAGCTCCCACAGCCCTTTACCACATGCTCTCGAACCGAACCCTTCAAAAGCCGCGAAGCACTTAGAAGATCCGCCGGTGCAGTTCTTGGTATCTTCCTAAACCCTGAAGCCTAAATCTTTAACCCGTGAACCTTAAATCCAGAAAAAAACCCTACTTCCCTACCCTAAACCCCTGAACCCTAAACCCCTAAACCCCCAAACCCCTAATTCCCTAAGCCCCAAAGAGGGCTAAACGAGGACCCGAAGATGGCCCCGCAAGACGAGGGGATGACCCTGGGAGGCGTTTTTTGGAGAGAAAAATAAGGGTGTATATGCGGTTTGAGGAATTATTATATGGATTTTCAGTAGGGCTAAGAGTTTGGAGAGGAATTCTATGGTTTTTTGGTAGGGTTAGGAATTTTTGGGTCGAGTTTTCAGGATGTTGGTTGTTCAGGTGTTTCCAAGATGCGTTTAGTGGATTGGTACACCGTCGCATGTGGGTTTAAAAACTGGTTTCATAGTGACGGGGTTCTAGAAGGGCTTGTTGAGTCTTCTGTACAAGCGCGTTCTAGGGCTTCGACCAGGGTTCTTTGCGACGGTTCTAAGACTGTAAAGGGAGTGTTAGGATCTGGGACTCCGAATTTAAATTTAGGGGTTTAGAAGGTGGGGGTGGAGACCGGGGATGCGGGCTGCTACATGATAGGCTCCACATGCTAAGCAGGCCCAGCAAGCGCTTTGGCGCTTCGGGCTTCGAGTTCTAGGGTTCAGGATAGACAGACACATAGTTTGATATAGATGGATCGATATACGTAAGATCCGCAGCCCACAGCTCAGCTCAATATATGTGTATATATATATACACACATATACATATATATATATATATAATGTCACGAGTTTCCTGTGTCAGGTGCCATTACCGCACTGGAGATGAAAGGGGCCTGCCTTGAAAGGACCTTCAGGGGACAAGCTTTTGCGGTGTTTCTGTGTGTTCAGGTTTTGAGCTTGAGGTTCTTGCGGTTTGGGGCGCTGTTTGGTTGCGTAGGGTTGACGGTTGGGATCCGGGATTAGGGCTAGGGTGTTGGTTGGGTGTTCTCTTGCTCAACTACTTGATTATTACTTGTCGATCTGCGTATCTACCTATCCTCTTAAATTTTCCGAACTACCTATCTACGTATATGCCTGTCTATCTACCTATCTTGCTTTCTACCTATCGGCGCCTATCTACCTGTCTACCTGTCTACCTATCTACCTATATGTCTGTCCGTGTGTCTGTCTGTCTGTCTGTCTGTCTGCCTGCCTGCCTGCCTGTCTGTCTGCCTGTCTGACCTACCTACCTATCTACCTGCCGATCTATCTAAGATCTATCTAGATGTCTGAGTATCTATTTCATTTCCTTATCTATCTATCCATCCATGCATTTTCTGATCTAGCTTACCTAGCTGCCTCACTGCCTACCTACCTGCCTGCCTGCCCTGCCCGCCTAGCTCCCTGCCTACCCACCTACGTACCTCCCTCCCTCCCTGTCTCTCTCTC